CCCCCCCGAGTTATGTCAAAGCAAAGGGGATCTTATCTCTGGTTACTAAAGGTCATGAAGTTTAATCCAATATCTGAAAATCCTCAGACAAGAAATGATTGTACACTATGCATGAAATGAGAGGTCAGTGCACATCACCTCGTGGCACAAATAACTAGGTAAGAAATGACTGGACTGTCATACTATTGATAGGAAGCTTACCAAGATATGTAGCTATCTCCTCCAAGGGGAAGGTCATACAGCTCCACCTTGGTCCCAAATCTGGCAAGTGGTATGACAAAGTATGACCCCAGTACATGGGCAAAATGTGCCACCCAGGGATCAATGAGCATTTTCAGTTCTCTGTGTCTGAGTCCTGGTAGTCTCCGTCCCATGACCCAAATCCCACTGGGGCCCAGAGAGGAAGGTGAAAAGTAGTTAGAGGTACATCTGGCTAGGATGAGGGTCATAGCCCTGTGGGTGATTAAACTGCAGTTCTGGAACACGAGATTTTTTTGTAATCTTTATTTATCTTAATGTGTAACTGCAAGTGTAATGGGAAGGCTGGTGACAGTCCTGTTCTCCCCAAAGACCTTGAAGAATGGTGACAATGAGAGCGTATAAAGCTCTGCATCCTATGATTTTGAATGATTTCTATGTACTAACTGCAGTCTGAATGAGAAACAAATATTGGAGAAGGTTTGTCACTTGTTGAACACTTCTGCTCATAGGGTTTAGTTAGTAAGAAAGGAGATGAAGTCAGCCAGGGCAGTGCTTTCTCCCCTTTTAAAGCTGTGAACCTCAGGCCTGCTTTTCTCACAGCTTTCACAGTTTTACTTTCCGTTTTTGTAAGTAAACGCCCTTCCTTCCCCACATATGTACCACAGCCATGACCAGACCCAGTATGGAGGCTGCCTGCTTTCATGCAGCTGACCACAACAAACCCAATTGAGGATGCTTGCAGCAGGTTCATCTCAGAGTAGGCTTTCCTCTGATTTCTGCTCGGTCTGTTGAAACTAACTGCAGGCCCGCCGCCCGCTGACCATGTGCGATGCTCTTGCAGGCCAATCTGCCCCTGCTGCAGCGGGAGCTGCTGCACTGTGCAAGGCTAGCCAAGCAGAACCCAGCCCAGTACCTCGCCCAGCACGAACAGCTGCTTCTGGATGCCAGCACCACCTCACCTGTTGACTCCTCAGAGCTGCTTCTCGATGTGAACGAAAACGGGAAGAGGCGAACTCCAGACAGGTGAGCCCCACCGCGCCTTTCACACGCCGCTTGGGAACGTCCCGTGGGTCGAACGTGCCGAGCTCCCCTAGCAAAGGGGTGGGTGGGTGCCTGGGGGAAACTGGGATGGTGTTCCCTGGGTGCAGGTCCTGCCGTTGTTACAGCTGTGCAATGCCATAATACCTTTATGTATGTGTGTATGCGTGTGTATCGGTAGGACAAGAGGAAATGGCCTCAAGTTGTGTCAGGAGAGGTTTAGATTAGATATTAGGAAAAACTTCTTCGCTGAAAGTGTGGTCAGGCACTGGAACAGGCTGCCCAGGGAAGTGGTGGAGTCACCATCCCTGGAGGTGTTCAAGGAGTGGCGCTTGAGGATGTGATCTAGTGGGTACGGTAGGATGGTTGGACTTGATCTTATGGGCCTTTTCCAACCTCAGTGATGATGTGATTCTGTGTGTGTGTGCCTCTGTGTGTGTGTATGACTCTGTATGTGTGTGTGTGTGTATATATATATTAAAAAAATAATATATATGTGCATGCATGGCCTCAGGCAGAATGAGGACACACTGTGGCCATATCTACCTAGAATAATATGAGCCAGTCGGTATCATACTAACTATTTGGTCCATAGTATTTCTGTGCAGCATAAAGTGATGAGCAGCAGATCACTCCAGCTCCACATGGAAGTGCTTTGTGTTTCAGGTCTTTTTGGATTAAATGGTAAATATAGGAAAAGTGACTAGGCACTCATACTGGGAGGTACAAGGCAAGCTCCAGAGTGCAGTCAGGGCTTTGACTCCTTCTGGTGTGCCGTTGTTCCATATTAATATATCCAATAGTCATAGGGATGTTTCTTCCAAATAGGAGAAATATTCACTGAAATTTGTTGGATCTTTTTTGTTGAGCTGAGAAGGAGTACATGCAGAAACAGGGCAAGCGAGTGCGCGTGTGCAGAGTACAGTAGCTTTAGGAATATGAAACAATTTTTTCTTATTTGAATAAAGTTCTTTGTTTGGTTTTACAAGAAAACGAATTTTGTTATTTATTTATAACTGTCGCTCTGTGATACTTAGAAATTGGGCTAGCGTATGAATGTTATCTTTGGGAGGCTCAAGTATTGGATTTGTCTTAGTTTTGTTTGCCATGGATTATATAGTATGGAAACCTTTTGTAACGCTTTTCTGTTAAATGCCACGACACAGTGCAAGAGTCCTAGTTATGTTTTAAATTAAAAAGGTGAAGATTTGCAAAGTCAAGAAGGCTAGCAAGTTTGTAGACAGATGACATTTTTGTGTAGGGACTGTCCATGATAGCACAAGGCCTGAAAGTTCCTGAGGCTGACAGGCAAAAATTCAACACCAGATAGTTGAGCATATTATGAAAGTGAGACATTAATGATACAGATGCAAGATTTTGAAAATGTCTGTGTAGTAAAACGTTAATCTACCCAGAGCCAGAAGTGAGCTGTAAAAAAATAAAGTAACATAGCCATTGGATACTTGGAAATGTGAAACTATTTTGCTTTAGATTGCGTTTCAGGGAAATCCATATGGACCATCACAAAAATAAAGATACCAGCAGGAAAGCCATTTTCTGTATACCCTCTTTTCACCAGTTTTTCCTGACTAAACCCAACTGAAATAGCCATCAGTATTAACACAAACCTGCTAACTGCATCCAAGAAAGATGATTAATTTTCAGACATTTTCCATGTAGTCTCTTACTCCGTGCAAAGAGATAACATTCTAAAGCTGAAATTTAGCTCCCTGGGGCAGTTCTGCTGCGTGTCCTCAGTCTTTGTAGTAGAGTGATGTATCAAAACGTCTGCTAAAAAGGCCTCTGAAAATCTTGTGCAACTTGTGAATAACTTAAATATCAGCATGCTGTGTTCCAGCATCAGTAGGACACACAGTGTTTTTCCTACAAATAGGTAGATGCACATTAAATTATCTCATAAGCCTGTGAGGTCTTGCTTGACAGAACATACAGAGGAGAAGAGGGATGTGCCTTCCTGACATCCCCCAGCTGACTTTTTTCCCGTTAACAGAGACCAGTATTATTCACCTCTCCCATAAGGCCACAAAAGGAAAAATGGGCAGTAAAATATTTCCTTGGCTTTTCTCCATTTGCATTCTGGGATACTCTTCCACTTTGAGACCCAGTTTGACAGTGTTGAATTTTGGTTATTTCATAATAAATACGGTCTAGCTTATGGTACCTTCTTATGGTACCTTCAGTGCTGGTTGTGTGGGAGGGGGTGAGTGGCACAGGTAAAGACCCATACAAGAAATTAGTAATGTGAAGACCCTGTCTTAGGCTTATAGCAAGAAGAACATAGGAGTAGCCCATAAGGGGACTCGCAGATCAGAAGAATATTGGATTTTGAAGTCAGACATCATCTTTTAATTAAAACTGAGGCCTAAACCTGCAGAGATTTAAAGTCTGGTTTATAGATTTTGTTCTCAGTGTTTCTTTCTAGTTAAAACAGATAGGTGCTCTTGAAACTTGGAAGTCTTTGCTTGGGAGCAAGTGTGCCTTCACCTTCGCAACTGAAGTCTCTCTTAGTCTCTATCCAGTTTAGGGAGTCTTCATTCCTCTCCAGGTAGTAATGCAGCTCTTGGGGTGAGGGTAGACAGTTTAACTTCCAGTGTTGTGGCTCAGACCCTGCGTTTGAATTCCCAGGGTCCTGGGAGGGGCTGTAGTGCGGCCTACATGCTCCGTGGTACTGAATCTATCAACCTGCCTGGACTGCCAATTGCGGCTTGAGAAACTGGGCTCCTTAGTTCTGGGGAAGGTGTTTCAGGAAAACTCATCCTTTCTTTTTTGACCCTGAGATTCTTTGCTGTCATGAAAGAGCTGGAAAGGCTGCCCAGCTCACCCATTAGAGTGGTGCCCTGAGCTTTAAATGTAAGTTGTTTTTTGCAGTATCAAACAACCCTGTCACTGGTTAGTCACACCTTCTTCTCCGTTGACTATGATTAAAGCTATACAGAAAAAAAATCCCTCATATGGTAGTTTTGGCTGAACCAAGTTCAGCAGAGTTGTCTTATGCACTCAATAACATTTGTGCTACAGATTTAGTAAAAAGAACAACATCCTGTTGGACAGACTGTTACATTTGGGAGTTTGCATAACTTTTAATTTGGATAATGCAAGTAAATCAACCACAAAAAACTGTCCTACGAGTCAGAGCATGCCTAGACTGAGTATTGAAACCAAATACTTGTCTGGCTTTATACTTATTACACTATTAATTATTTTAATTGTTTATAGAGAAGCAGGAAGAAACATCTGGAAATATATATACCTTTTGTTTAAATATCTAAGTAGTTCTCAAATATACTAATAAAAATAGAGGGGAAGGTATGAGGCATGATTTAAGAGAAAGGTTTGCTGTGACTCTGTTTCTAGAATGTGGGAAAAAAATTACTAAAAGGCAACATCTTTCCGGGGGAACTAGATGCAATTGAAATAATTTTGTTTGGAGATATGTCTCTCATTAAAGCACATTTTGTTACCTTGTTCACATCCCAAGGGGTATGATTATATGTATACACACACATATATACATACATACACATATGCGTGGTATGTAATGTGTATGTATACCATAAATAGACATGCACATATGATACATGCATGTATATATTAGAAATATATGTACACACATTTTTCCATATTTACATTTTTCTTTTGGTCACAGGTAGCTACATACCATTGATTCCAATGGAGGTAAAATACACTAAGGTGTTAGGCAAAGGAAGCGGAATGTGTGTGTTGCACATACGACATCCACCTCGTGGTTTTTTGTTAAAAAAAACCTGCATACAGTAATTTTTTTTGCGTATCATTTCAGAACCTTTTTTGCATATGCACTTTCCAATTCTGATTATTTATCTGCATATCCAAGTCTACTGTATGTGAGGTTTTATAGAGCAATCTGACAGCAGAGCTTCGTGTTTTACTGAATGTTTTCTTGGTGCATATGGTCTGACACGGATGAGCAGCCACGGTGAGATTTTGGAGTCTATTAAACTAGCTCATTAAAAAGATCAATCTGTTTCTGTAATAACACTGGGAACCATCAGTCACTGCAAGAGAGAAAAACTGACACCTGAGGAGACAACACATTTTGGTAATTTGTTCATGACATGTCATGAACAAAGTGTTCACTATATTTTGTTTACAACTTTTGGAGTTTACATTCTCCTGTAGTAAAGCAAAGGAACTTGGACCAATGTGAGTTTTTATTTTGGTGAATGAATGCTTAGTTATAAATAACATGACTTTAAATACATTAACCACAAAAGGCTTTTTTGCTAATTAGCTGTGCTTTGAGCTTGCTGGGAAGGGCTGTATGGCACATGAAAGTGTCATATAGTGACTCTACATTTATGACAGCTGACTACAAGGTGGATATAGCATACCAAAAAAGTCTGTTAGAATATCTCTAATTTTGAGTGAGAAGAAAACAAAGTGGCTATGATTGTTTTGGGACTGTGGAAAGTGCTGCTGTGCTTTCTGTACCCTTGGCACTGCTGACAAGGAATTCATGTTGGGCACACAGAACAACTGTGGTACTTCTGTTAGGTAAATCTTACTTGAAGAAGCTCCTCCACATCTCAACAAGGTGAGGGATGCTCACAGCTCTTACAGCTATGCTCCTTGTGAGCCATATGTAATTATGTGGAATTTAAAAAGTATTTTCTTAACATGAACCATTAGCACAGCAATATTAATCTTTGCGGTAACACAGTGTTACAAACACAATAGGTATTTTATTCCAGCAAAGCATTATCGCTTGTTTGGTCATCAAGACTGTATTGGTGGAAGTCCACTGTGAATCAAAGCATCCTGCAGAAACAGTAGATGAACAGCTTTGCCTCCTTGCAAGTTGACTTCAGTGTTCTTTGAAATTGGTGTAATACACCTGATCAGGTGAAACTAAATTTTCCACCCAAGGCAGTTTTGCATGGTCAGATTTCCTACCCAGGAAATTATCCATACATTTTAATAATTTAAAACTGAAATGATAACTTGTAGTCTGTTAAATGCATACAGACTAATGACCAGTATCTCTTCTGCTACCTTTAATCTGAGTAAATCATGGCTCCAAGTAAAATGACCTCTTGCATGTTTATAGCTGAAAGACACCATCTGTATTATATTGCCAATTTTCCAAATGACAGTGTCGATTTATGTGTACATCAAGGAAAATGTAACCGACAGGAGCAAGAAAAACAAAAGAAAATGTGTCAGTTAGGCTTTCTACACATTCAGTGTTATTTCCTCTTTACAGCTTGTTGTTTCTTTGCAAAATAAGATAGATGAGGTAAAAATCAGATGAAAATTGTAGTGGTTTTGGATTTGGAACTAGTGCTCAATGGGTCTGCCAATTACCGTGAAACAGGAGCGCTTCCTCAGGCACCTGGGAAAACTCTGCTCTCTCAAGGGGGTGAGATCTGGAAGCATGAGTAGGACAGAGATCAGAAGCAGAATAGTAGGTTGAGTTCAGGGTATCTGAATTATGTCGTTCTTCAGTACTTTGTGTATTTTATCACTATATTCAGTATATTCAGATATAATAAATTTGCTAGTGATTCCTGTTCTGATGAGACTTTGAAGGTTGTTACCTTTTTATAGAATTCTAAAATAGTTTGGGTTGGAAGGGACCTTTAAAGGTCATCTAGTCCAATCCCCCTGCAATGAGCAGAGACATCTTCAACTAGATCCGGTTGCTCAGACCCCCTAGCTGACGTTGAATGTTTCCAGGTAGATGGCATCTACCACCTTTCTGGGTAACCTGTGCCAGTGTTTCACCACACTCACTGTGAAGAATTTCTTCCTTTTATCTAATCTAAATCTGCCCTCTTTTCAATTTAAACCCCTTACCTCTTGTCCGTTCAGGTACTGCAAGATGCTATAAGGTCTCCCCGGAGCCTTCTCTTCTCCAGGCTGAACAAGTCCAGTTCATTCAGTCTTTCTTCCTAGTAGAGGTGCTCCTGCCCTCTGAGCATTTTTGTGGTCTCTGTACTTGCTCCAACAGGTCCATGTCCTCTTTATGTTGCGGCCCCACAGCTGGACGCAGCACTCCAGGTGGGGTCTCACCAGAGCAGAGCAGAGGGGCAGAATCCCCTCCCTCGACCTGCTGGCCACGCTTCTCTGGATACAGCCCAGGATACGGTTGGCTTTCTGGGCTGCCAGCGCACACTGCCGGCTCATGTCCAGCTTTTCATCCACCAGCACCCCCAAGTCCTTCTCCTCAGGCTCAATCCCTTCATCCACCACCCTGAACTGATACTAGGGATTGCCCCAATACATGTGCAGGACCTTGCACTTGGCCTTGTTGAATGTCATGAAGTTCACATGGGCCCACTTCTCAAAAATGTTCAGGTCCCTCTGGATGGCATTCCTTCTCTCAGGCATATCAGCCACACCACTCAGCTTGGTGTTATCGACAGACTTGCTGAGGGTGCACTCAATCCCACAATCTATATAATTGATGAAGATATTAAACAGTCTTGATACAGGCCCCTGATGGACACCACTTGTCGCTGATTTCCATCTGGACATGGAGCCATTGACCACTACCCTCTGGATGTGACCATCCAACCAATTCCTCATCCACTGAACAGTCCATCCATTAAATCCATCTCTCTCCAATTTAGAAAGAAGGGTGTTCTGGGGGACGATATCAAAGGCCTTACAGAAGTTGAGGTAGATGACATCTGTAGCTCTTCCCTTGTCCTCTGATGTACTCACTCCATCACAGAAGGCCACTAGTTTGGTCATGCAGGACTTCCCTTGGTGAAGCCATACAGGCTGTCTTGAATCACCTCCCTGTCCTCCATGTCCCTTAGCATAACCTCTAGGAGGATCCATTCCATTTGTGTACTTTATATGGTCAGAAACACAAAATGAGTTTATGTACAGTCTCATTCTGGTATTCTGCTAAGATGTTTAGCAGAAAATATAATACAGAATTGTAGAATTAAGATTTTAATGTCCAAAAAAGACCTGACAGCTGTTACCCAGCATAATACAAAAATAGGAATTTAATTTCAGTAAATGTGCTTTCAATGGTAATGTTAATAATTTTTGTGTTAGTTAAACTCAGGATTCTAGAAGAAAATGGGCATGCTGGTGTGTTGTCCAAGCTAATGCAGTGAATTCCAGTTAAGGTAATTAAGTACAGAGCATACCTAAAAAAAAACCAAAAAACAAACAGAAGTACCTATACAGTAAAGTGCAGATATGTACATTGGTATGAAAATACATGATTTTAACATCTAATTATAGTGCAGGAAATGAAAACTGGATTCCTTCTTGTCACAGTATTCTGGTTTGCCTTTCCAACACTGATTGATCAAAAAAAAGTCAGTGGAGTTAATTATCTACAGTTTCTAATTTTCCCCCATCTTAGTTAGAGATTATTCTAACTGTGACACTAAAGAACTTTGGCAAATGATTAGCTTGGCTTGTATATACAGGAAAGTCCATTTTCTGCTTGCATAGTATTTTTACAATTGAAAGACCTGAACTTTGAGTTTGAGTAGATACATGCAAAGAAAACACAGCAGCAACTAAATACAAAACTTGTCTTGGAGAGTTGTCAAAAACATCAATACCCATTGGGAGAAATTGCAAACAGTTCCATCGTTCCAGAAGTCATTAGAAATATTTGATGGTCCTTAGGTTTTCCTGATTAGGAGTTTTCCCAGCCATTCTGCATTTGCTTTGGAACACGGTACATAGAGCACTTTAACAAAGTATATCATTTATAACTCTGTCCAAAATTAGAACAGCTGTCCTGCTGTATTGGCAAAAGATTCTTCCCTCTTTGCCAAGCTAACGTATAATAAAATATATATACAAGTATAATAAAATGTATATACCTGCAGCTTCTCTGGCATTGGTGATTGGGGTGAGGTCCCTGGAAAATCTCGTTACTCCTCTGAAAACAGTGCGACCCATCTTTCAATTTCCTGCTGGTAATTGCAAGATCTTGCTTTGATCCTCTCTCCCAGTGGATATTGGCAAAGGTTTGGTTTCATCCTTCCTCTCATTGACATTAAAGGAGAACCCACTGAGGGACACCAAGTAATACACTGAGTGTTTCTCCACAGACAGTCCCTCAAGGTTGATTGTTTTGTGTGGGAGGATTTGTTGAAGGGCAGTTGGTTTTAACAGCAGGCAAACGAAAATTAGATCAGATTTACCTTCCTTTCAAAGTGTCAAAAAAATTATGTTATTACTAGGAAGATATATTATGCCATCCATAAATCATGGAGGAGCAAGTTCTTTTTTAAAAAGGCAGGAACGTATCAGCTGTTTGATAAAAGGTTTTGGAGGAGGGATGAAACCTCAACAGCTGGCAGTATTTATATCTAATAACCTTCCTGTTGAAAGCTAATATTTGGTAGGTTTTGTTTATTCCAGTGGTAAAAAACCCCTACTTCAGCGAAAAGAAGCTTCTCTGAAGGGGTTGTGAACCCGTTGAGGTAACTCTAGACTTTCTTTTTTATTTTAATGGAAAATGAGTTCAATGTGAGTTCTAGGATCTCAGGCAGAGGTGCAAAGTAGAGACTCCTTTGGAAATAGCTGATTTTCTATAACATAAAAACCTGCCCTTCTCCCTGAAAACGCTCTGAAGTCACCTGAGCATACAAACCTTGTCCAAGAGTAATGGAGTGGGAAATGTTGAATGTTATTGAGGACTTGAATCTAAGCACATCTTCCTGCAAAATTAATGACGGGCACAGGACCCTTGACTGAAATAGCCCAGATGGTATAAAAATCTCTGAAGGAAGCATTTTTCATCATCTGGAGTCATTCTTGCCCAAAGTCTGAGCGTGACACTGATCTTGATGGGAGCTCATCCTGGCATTATGTACAGCCGACCTGCCGCACACTGACACGCATTGCCTTAAGACTCTCTGCTATCCTCTTGGAAAAAAACCCCACATTTCTTTTAACTGCAAATTTCCCCATATCACCATATGCTATAACAGTGCTGAAAGGAGGAATTTCTCGGTCTCTTGCTTCATGTATCAGTTGGTTGTTTCAGGTCTGCAAGTACGTGTATATCCATCCCATCAGCCGGTGCTTTCAGTGAATGCTGCTCGTTCTCCAGCTCAGCTCTTTAAGCTGCTCCATCGGAAGGGTCACCCTGCTAGTATTTCTCAAGTTACAGGGGTAGTTAGAAAAGGTGAGAAAGTGTCCTCTGTATATTTTGAATAAGCAGCGTTATGAAATGTTCTGCGACGCCACACGCTTGGAGCAAAGTGAAAGAACAAGCTTTAGTTCCTGAAGCTGCACCTGTGGGTGGGGGTGCATGTTCCTGAGCAGCTCTGCTCGCCGAGTGAATTGAAGTTCCTTTGCTTTGTTTTTCAGAACCAAAGAAAATGGCTTTGACAGAGAGCCTTTGCACTCAGAGCATCCAAGCAAGCGGCCCTGCACTATTAGCCCAGGCCAGCGGTACAGTCCAAATAATGGCTTATCTTATCAGCCCAATGGTCTGCCTCATCCCACCCCACCTCCACCTCAGCATTATCGTTTGGATGATATGGCCATTGCCCACCACTACAGGGACTCATACAGACACCCCAACCACAGGGACCTCAGGGACAGAAACAGACCTATGGGTAAGGCATGTTGATTTCCTGCATCAGGGTTTTTTTTTTTAGGTTTCTCTTTTCTGTGTAATTATATTCTGTGCTTTGTACAGGGTTTGTTTGCTCATTAAATATGCCTGCCGTTCAGATGTAGAATTTATAGGTGTCCATCCAGCTGCTTCTAATGGCCTTATTTCAGAATTATATTTGTAAAAGTGGATGGAATTGTGTCTTTGCTGAACTCTACATCAAGAAAGTCAGAAGGAGGAGGAACCCGTTGCTATCACAGCTGCAGAGATGACATGGACACTCAGGTGTCTGGTAGGCAAGGATGGGTAGAACCTTTAATTTTTCTTTTAATGCCACATTGGCGATGGTAACACCACCAATGTAGCTTGATTTCAGCTTAGACTAGAGGAAAGCCTTTGGAGAAGTGATTCATGCATGACATCTCAAGAGCGCAGTGCAGCGTGGGGATGTCTGCAGAGGATGCAAACAGCAGAAGCACCAACCACACCCCGCGCAGCACGTTTTGGTTTAATGGGATGTCTGATGCTCTTGGATTTGCCTGGCTGGCTTCACATCTGCACTTACTATTCTGCCTTGTTTTAAACAAATCTTCAATAAAAGAGGAACGTTTACAAATATTCAGCATCTGTATAAAGGAGGCTAAACAAAGAGCAAGTGTTGGTTCCTCTTGAGTGTTGATAATAAATACTGGCTTGGTTGTATCATGTTGTCAGCTGCTCTGATATATGTGCTACATTTTAACCACATGTTGTTTAAACATCTGTGAAGGGATGAACCCTTAATGATGCTCTGTTGACATGGTAGTAATTACTGCATTTAGTGAAATAACACTGAGTTTATACTAATATTTTTTCAACTCTCTGAAGTACAGCTAGTATTTTATACACTTAAGTTTCTGAATAATTGTCTTGCTGACTTCTTCAAGTGGTGCAAATGAAAAATTATATATTGTATTGTGTGTGTTATATGTATTATTATTGTATGTAGTCAGAAAGAGTTATGTCCACTTTTGAGCGGTCATCTTGCAACCTACAGAACTTACAGAACTGAAGACATTGAATTGAGGAAAACAGTAGCACCTTGTGGGGGGAAAAGTGCTAAAGAGAACTTTGAGCACAGTTTTTAAGCATGCATTTATTTTTGTGGTGTCATTCCTGATAGTTAATGTATGATATATTTGTCTGATAGGCTCTTTTTTAATTCCCCCTTCCCCCCCCCGAGGACTCCCAACATTGTAAACATGATTTGCTCCTTTTTGGCAGGGTTGCATGGCACACGTCAAGAAGAAATGATTGATCACAGGCTAACAGACAGAGAATGGGCAGAAGAGTGGAAACACCTTGACCATGTAAGAGCTAAATGTACTCTTACGTGTAAATGTCTGAAGGGAGCCCTTCTAAGACAGGAATTTAAGCTTCTTGTTTTAAAACAACCCTGAATCCCTGGACAAGTTTTGAAAGCGTTGATCACTAAGACTACGGACTTGATGTTCCCCATTAGGTAGCTCCTATTAGGTGTAGCTGTTCAAATGCCTATTGCAGTATCCTAAGTATTACAGACTGACAAAATGGGATTGGACACTGCACTGTAAACCCTGGATGTGGAACACATGACCCTCACCCTTACTTAGTACTGGTTAATTGGAATTTTTTTCTTTGAATTTATTTGGTCTTATAACATTTGTTGGCATCAGTTCTGGAGCAGATCTCCTGGCCTCTGTTGTGCCGTGTGATACTAGTTGTGGGACTGCAGCCTATGTAGTCTTTTCCTCCTTGTCTTCTCCCGTTCCCCCAGAAATCCGTATTTGTACAGTGTGGGTCCACCAGTTAAGTAGGAAGGGATTGTCATTTTTAAAAGCAAAGCTAGAATTTTTCAGCTGTATTTGAAATAACAGGGAGAGACTTCTTCATTCTTAAAACCCAGGCACTCAACACATTAATATTTTCTTTATTTTCCTGTCAGTTTATTCATAAAATGTTATTTTTTCTTTCTCCGCTCCATCCACCACCACGAGTAGCTGCTAAACTGTATAATGGACATGGTGGAAAAAACTAGGCGATCTCTCACTGTACTACGGCGATGTCAAGAAGCAGACCGTGAGGAGCTTAATTACTGGATACGGCGGTACAGTGATGCGGAAGATTTAAAAAAAGGCGGTAACAGCAGCAGTAGTCATTCCAGACAGCAGAGTCCAGTGAATCCAGATCCAGTTACATTAGGTACAGTATCCTCATTAAAAATTATTTATTAATCCTGTTTCAGCTCAGCTAAGTGCTAGGTGAAGTTCATATTTATCCTTCTGTTTCTTCTTTTGGGACAGTGATGAAATACTCCCTTCTGCTGCCTCCTGAATTAACTATAACTCTTATGCCCTAATAGTCACATTTACATGTGAAATGGCTTGGTGGTTTGGGTGATACTTGGTAACTTGCTTTCCGTTCAGCAGAGTCCAGGATTAGGGGGGCGGAAGGATGGACTGTCACGTAGGGATGGCAGAGCAGTGAGATGTGCACTGACTCTCCGTCCCCTCCGACTTCCTCCCTTGGCCTGCTTGGTTAAGGGAATCTGTAGGTGTTTCTGGATTGTTGACACTGTGAAACCAAGGGCTTTCACCCTCTCAAATGACTTAATGTGGAAGTTGTCTTTTCTGAGGACGTGGAGGAAGATACAAAGATATTGGCACTCCTTAGCTGTATTTGGTTTCTGTATAAGAAAGAAAGAGCATCTGGGATGCCACAGCCATGTACATATAATCCTCCTAGGTCTGTGTGTGCCACTGCAGCTCACAGAGGTGTGTCTAAACTTGTTTGAGTACTGCTCAGTGCATAGTTACACAGAGACGCACAGTCAGAGCTTGGCTTAAGGAGCAGGCAGACCAACCAGTTGGACTTTGACCCCCTGCAGACCTTCACAGTCACACACTACCTCGCACAATTACTCCAAGATGACTTTGTTTTATTTTATTTTATTTTAT